AGCAGAGGACTTCACCCAGCCTCACAGCCATGTTCCTGGACAGCATATGCAGTATTTGCCAACAAGAGTAGACAACATTCTGGAGTCAAATCAATACTCAGATGCTGCATAACCTCCCTTCCTGCCTCTTCTTCTGCTGGAGGGTTTCTGGGCCACCTCACCCAACATGAAGTATGTCAAATCCAATGATTGGTACCCCATTGAACTCTCATTCACCTAACATTCACACAGGGATTTTCATTTGAACCTGCCCTGGAGGAGATTAGCACCCTATGAAAGTCACCAGGGGAAGGAACTGAAATCACTATAACTCAAAGAGCCCAGGGCCATTAGCCGGGAGTCAGTGCCACTGAGTACAATCCAGGTCACCCTCCAATGACAACTTTCAAGCTGCACCCTGACACCTTTGACCACTCTAGGAACAGGGATTGTCCATCTCTGCATTTCCAGCAAGGCTGACCTCTATTGGGAGCTTTCTTCCCTGCATCGCTGTTGGTCCACTCATATGACTCAGAAGGAGCCTGAATTTCCCTTTTGCCAAGACACCTATAAACACTTAATGGATGCCAGGACACAAGATGAGGATGAAAGTAGAGATGAAAGAATTGGGGACTGAATGTCTGACCGTCTGTCTACTCTTATAGCCACATAGGGACTTAAATACTGTACCTTAGGAACTTCCAGTGCAAAACTAGGTAGAGGAATATCTTCATTATTTAGATAAAAACCAAAAGATAACTAATTCATAAACTCAGTCTACCTCTCACCAGTGCCACCTATAATTTTCAATCCTATATGTTATCTTCCAAAATTATCAATTGAAATATCATCGCCCTTAGAGGTTAAAAATCTCCATGTGATTCTCATTATCTACAGAATCAAATTCAATCTCCCAACACACCTTCGTCTCATACCCCTCCACACTTCCTTAAATTTGTTAGCTGTATCAATTTTTAAAATTTCTTTTTAGTATAAAATACTAAGTATAAAATATATATTTTAGCATGTATAAAATAATACACACTCAAACAATATAAAAGGCACAAAGAAAAAATATTTTCTCTTTTTCTATTTCCACCTCTTTCTCAGAAGTAAATTGTTATGCTTTGCCATGTAGCCCTTCAGATATTTTACTCTATATAAATCTTTATCTTTGGAGTTGCATTATAACCTACCAAACCAACTAATGCACATATAATAAAAATATATAGAAAGAGAGAAAATTGCAAAGAGAAAGCGGCGTAAATAGAAGTTCAGGCTATTTATTCTACTCCGTGGAGCACAGAGCCTTGAGAGAGCCTGGGACTCCGCTGACCGTAAGGACAGCTGCTTCCAGGCCTGTGGAGGGTGAACATCTCACAGCTGAGTGTGGTCCTAGTGCCTGTAGATGCAGGTTTGATTGTAGTTGATTCTCAGCTGATGAATTTGCTTGAAGACCGAATCCCCTCATTGGATGTGACTCTATTATCTATATGAATATAATATTTTCACTGTTATAATGAGGGTGTAATACACTGTTTTGCAACCAGGAGCATTTTTTTCAAGACTTTATCTATTTTAACCACTACCTGATATGCTATTGCTTAGATGCACTGTAATAATTCATTCAACCTGTCTCTTTTTCGTGGGTATTTCACTCCTGATTTTCACCCATTTAGGTGATGGGCCAAACATCCTTGTACATCTACCTTTGTGCTCTTGTTTGGTAGGATACATACCTGGCAGTAAAAACACTGGAATGAAAGGTAGGCACTTCTAAATTTTTGATAAGTATTACCAAATGGTTATATAAAACTTAAACATACTAATGGCGTCCCTCACTGTTTTCTAAAGAACATTTAGAGTTATTTATTATATAAAAGTACGAAGAAGAAAACTAAACAGTCTCATAGTCTCCACTGAAATTTATAATAGAGAATTGAAATATGTAAATATTAAAACTAAAAAGGAAAAAAAAAATATACCTCTCTACAATCTCTTCTAAAGATAACCACCTTGTATTTCCTTTAAAAATTTTTTGCATGCATATAATAGCATTCTTACATGCAAATATATTTATGTATATATCCTTTTAGTAAAAAAAAAAAGGGTCATTATATACATGCAACTTTTCACTGTGCTGTTCTTTCCTTTGAAAAATACATCTTTGAGATTCTTTCCAAACCAGCATCCATAACTGTACCTGATTCTAGTGGCTGCATACCGTTCCATTTTCCTGGCAGTTCATAATTTAATTAACCAGTCCCTTACTGATTGATACTTATAATGTTTCAAGTTTCATGTTGTTACAAGTGATTCTTAACACACTTCTTACAAAAACACACTCATACTCTAACACACTCATTCTTAAAATTGAACGTGACTGTTCTTATTTTATTATCAATACATAGATGTAAGTGTAGTGTGGTTATTTAATATGTCTTCCTCAAAAAGCTGAGCTTCTTGAAGAAAAGAAACATGCTTTACTCTGTGGTAAATCCTCAGGACCTGGTACATTGTTACATGATAGGAGCTCACTAAATGTTACCTGAATGAAAAAAATGCTGCTAGTAAAGATCTACCTTTTCTTAGTTTTAATGTAAGTCTGAAAATATACATTTCATGGGTCCATTGATACAAGAGACATTTGTTAAGCATCTATTATGTGCTAGACATTATGGCCTATACGGCCAGGAATTGAAGCAGGTGCATAAATAACGGAGATAACGGGAGAAACGGGTCTCAGAACGCCACAAAGGAAGAGGCACAGGCAATCAGAGGGAGCCAGAGAACATTTCTAGAAAATAGTATACGCTTAAAATCAGACACTGCAGTATTGGTAAACCAAATCCTGGGCCAGTGGATGGTTGGGTGTGGGGACTTTGATTTATAGTATATACCAATTCCCGTGGCCATTTTCAAGCTACCAGAATATCTAACGGTCAAGTCTCTTAAGCCAGTACAACCTTCTCCAGCGTAACACTGAATCGCGGCATTCCAGCCAAGCTTCTGGAAACTCCCGTTCTCGTCCTGTCACCACGACCTCCCAATACCACAGTATTTCAGTTATTGCCACCCCTCCCATGCACTAGACAAGTAAAACGAAGTATTCTTTGGAGGTCTGAGCAAGAGAAGTCAGGGGGCATTAGAGAATGACTTCTAACTGCCCTGTCCAGCTGTCCACGCTTCATGGCCGGTCTTGCTGGCCCTCAAAGTGTCCATTCCTGTAATAGGGGCGGGGTGGGTGCACGGTTGTCAGCGGGAGACCCTGAGTGAAGCCATTCGCGCGAGACCATTAGGACAAGATCCTGAGTGCAGTGGTTAGAGGTTCTGCTCCGCCAACAGTCGGCTCCCAGTGGTCCCTGCGGCAGAGAGTGTGGTGAGAGATGCATCGTGGCCTTCTCCCCGGGGCCCTCCAGGCCCTCTGGCCTCGGGTGAGCTAGGGAGCCCCGGGACAGACAGCGCTGTGTCCCGCAGAGCTCCAGAGCCCTCGCCACAGCCGCCCACTGGCCGGGCCCAGGCCTTGAAGCAGCAGCAAACGTCTCCCCCATCCCCACCTCCGTGACTTAATGGCGGGGTCTGTCTCCGTGGGTCGTGGTCCATGGAGGCCTCAGCAGCTGCAGTATGTGGACACTGCCATTAAGGTAACAGCTTCAACAAGCTTCAGTCTTTCTGCCCAAGTCTCAAAAATTGGTCCAGCTTGGATCAATTGTCTACCCCTCGGAGGTGGCCGGAGGGCAGGGCTAAGTTGCAGGGACATTGCACGTCATTACTTCAGGTCCACCTCTATGGTTGGGGCTATTGTCAAAGAAGGGCAGCAGTCGCGAGCTGGGAATTAACCTGATTTGCTACAACGTGTATTCCTATTGATCCTATACAAATGGTTCTCTCCAGTTTAAATGAAAAGCCTGAGGACCGGCCGGGTCCTGGGTGCCTGGCTCCCTCAGTGACGTCGGCTGGGCAGGGCCTGGGGGCCTGGCCCTGAGGGTGCCGCCAGCTGAGATCTGCCTCCTCTTCTGGGCCTGGACACTGGCGGGAGGACCCAGACTGGGTGCTGGACGAGCGCTCCTGGGCAGGGTTACCAGCCCGCGAAGGGACCCCATCCTCTCGGCCAGGTCCTGGACCTTGGAGGGCTAAAGTTGAGCCTTGGGACCTTGCCCTTTCTTGTCAGAACTGAGAATAACATCTGTTTTGGTGGAGGTTTACAGGAACATCATGACCTGACCATGACCTGACCTCAAGAACAAAGGATCTAATACCAAGAAGTGTGCAACAACTAACCACGCCCGTCCCTCACCTTTCCAATAAAAGGGCTTTGCTTGAAAGCTTTTGGGAAGTTCAGGGTATTTAAGGCGTGAGCCACGCATCTCCTGAAACGGCCCTGCAATAAACCTCTCTCTGCTCCAAACTCTGGTGTTTTGTTATTGTTTGGCCTCACTTTGTGTGGGGCGCAGGGACTTGCATTCTATAACCTTCCCTCCTTGAAGGCCTCTTTTCCTCATTACATTGCCTAAGCTGCTGAGTTCTTTACTAAAGTTTCCAGCTCAGCTTTGTTGACTGAGCCAGAAATCTAAGAAAGATAAGAAAAACAAATGGACTTTGCAGATTATAAATAGGGCTCCCTGCTAACCAAGCTCACATCCCCTGAGGCTTCAATGTGTATTTAAATATCAAATTTACAGCAGGAATATAGGGCCTGGAGTTTGAGAGATGAGTCAGAGTGTATTTTAAGAGGTATTGGATACATGTTAAGATTATACTTTTCTTTGGAGCCAGGAAACAAAGAGTGTCAGCTGTGCCATGAGAAGTTATAATTTCAAGATCCTGTCTTGGTTGCCCATGTGAGAATCTCATACAAGTTTCTAGAAGAGGGGCTTTACGGGCATTAGTCAATCTTAGCCCAAAGTATTTTTAGTATGATTATTTGGCTTTGGGCTTCACTCTTTATCAGAAATCTTGAAGACAAAATAAAAACAACCAATGAAAAAATCATATCTACCTCTTTGGGAGTTTGAAATGTATTTTTCCAAGTAGAGCTTCAATTTACAATATTCTCATTCATCAGACCCAGATTTGCAAACCAGTGTGATATTCTAATTTTCCACTTAAACCATGAAAACTAGTACATTAGAAGAGGTCCCTCGGAGAATTAAATCGTGACTTTGATGATCAAAATAAAGAATGGGGAATCACAGAGACAAAATTTAACCCAACCCTGTTAAAATCAATTAAGACGTATTTTTTTATTTAAATTAAGAATATTGACGCACTATCCCTGAAAATTAGCAGTACATTCATTCAACTTTTTCTATTTTTCTATTCTATTATTTTTCTATCAGAAGGTTTCAGACATGGGGAATTGGTAAAACTAATTACTAGCAAGAAAAAGAACGATGTGTTTTAAAACGACGCACAAAACATCGAAAACCAAAGGCTGAAGCAGGAAAGAACTTAGCACAGGAAGAGGACTCAAGTAACATGATGACCAGGCTCCATAACCTTGAAGAAAACACTTCCAACCAAGGCCTGCGTCCCAAGGATGCCACCAATGCAGTTACAGAGCCTCATGCTCACAAGGGTCTTGTGCTTGGGGTTAATGGTGTTGTCTTGAAATTCTTAATTTTATCTTTGACTTATGTTTTTAAAATAAGTGAGCCAGTGGAGCATGTACTAATGGCTTGGAGACTTGGCCCACAGGAGGGCCCATCTCAACTGCCCTCCCTCACACAGGCTCTCAACCACCCACCCTCTCATTCCCTGCTGCCTCAGGACATGCCCAGCCTCCCCTTCCTGCCCCTTCCCACCAGAAGAAGTAAAGTAGAACTGATGTGCTCCACACCATCTTGGGACAGGATGTGCACTCCAAGGTGGCATCCTGGGCTGGCTGTACCACAGTGTGTTAGGCAGGTGACTCTGGGTGGGGGGGTGAGCCTCTCACCCACCCCTGATCCAGGTACTGTGTACATTGGGGTGCAGAGGTCACGGTCCCTTGGGGGTCACTTGTGGGAAGGGGAGATTGATTTCCCTGCCCCCTAGTTGGGCATACATGTTGGTCCAGTGGCTGGACATTGATATATAATTATATCATATATATAATTAGTGACTTTTATATGCCTCTGTTTTACTTTTTCTTCACTTAATTATCTCTTTATAAGAGTTAATGTTTTTAGCTGGTTAATCATCTGCCTTGTAGCAGTTCTCTGCCCAGAGTCTCATGTCTTGCTCTAGATCAAGAATCAGAAAACGCCTCTCTGCTGTTCCCTTTTCTTCGGTCCTTAGGTCCTGACTGCTTTGGCAGGGCTGCAACAAGACTTTTTTTTTTAATGGCTCTTTGTTTTCCAGCAGGAACACAGGTATTCCATCATAGCTGGAAATTGATGACATAGTTTGGTGTCATAAACTGGACAGCTGTTCCTGAACAGCTTTCTATACAGAAAGAACAAATGAACATCGACCATTCCAGAATCCTATCATTCTGAGCTCAGAGATTCTAAATTTTAATTAGTTTGTATTAAATAGTATTTTACATTAGTTCTTTAAATTAAACTATGTCTTTGAGGTGGGTTTTTTTTTTTAATGGACACTTTAGGTGATGCATGTCACTTAATGGCAATATTTTCCAGTGAAAATTTTGTGAACATGTATTAACCCATAATGCTTCTAGGCCTGAGTTGTCTGTGTGTTCAAGTTAAACAATTAACTACTTTCTGGGGAAGATCTTGGCCCTGCCTAAGGGTACATCCTCTACCCAACCCCTGTGTGAAGCTGGGGCTGGCCCCTGGTTAGACCCCATATTATTCATAAAATGTCATAAGGAGATGTCAAACCTGCCTTTCTCTCAGTTTATTCTTAAAATATATGTAGGGCACTTCCCTTTGTCAGTAACCTGGAGGTTAGGTAAATAGACAATATACTGTGAAGTTCTCTGTGGAACTTTTTTTTAAATAAAAAGCTTAGTTTTAAGAAATGTCATTCATGGAAGATTACCATAAGGCTATAGGAATCCACTCCTTCCTCTTGAATCTAAAAGAGCTAAGGAAGAAAAATATTGCTTTTGATTTCATTGCTTTGGTCCCTTGTACACTAGCTATGCTTTGGCATTGGGCCTGTTTGACCTGCATCCAGGGAGGTAAGAAGAGGAAGTCATTCTACACTTGCCATTTTATTTATCACAGAAATTATTGTTCTCCTTGGGAAATCACAGGAGATGTTTCTCTCAGTTCTCAATATCAGGAAGAGCTGTGCATCTCTGAAAAAAAGGGGTTTTTCATTTTTAGACACTCTAAACATTGTAATCAATCATGTTTCATTTTGTTTGGCAGCTAGGAAGCTCAGAACCAAATCTGGAACCTCTTCAGGCAATGTATTTCAAGGATTTTGTGTGTTAATTTTGTCTCTGGTTTTATTTTAGTTTCCTTCAGTTATCCTGTAGCATCGTATATATATGTTTTCAGGTAGAATCTTAAATAATTTTTGGAATGAAACAAAGGATAAAAAACATGAATAGGGCTTCCCTGGTGGCGCAGTGGTTGAGAGTCCGCCTGCCGGTGTCGGGGACGCGGGTTTGTTCCCCGGTCCGGGAAGATCCCACATGCTGCGGAGCGGTGGGGCCCGTGAGCCATGGCCGCTGAGCCTGCGCGTCTGGAGCCTGTGATCCACAACAGGAGAGGCCACAACAGTGAGAGGCCCGCATACCACAAAAAAAAAAAAAAAAAAAAAAAACCCTGAATAAATGACCTTAAGAATGGGGATGGACTGTCCTTGTGTCCCCAGTGTTTTTATCTTTTGGATCTACCCTTCCCTTCAGGTCTGGCCAAAGGAGGCAGGTGCATCTCTGTACCCTCCCAGTCTCTAAAGCAGCGGTTCACTGGGAACTTCCCCACTGGCAGTACCAGGAAAAAGAGGTGAGAGGAACATTGAAGAAGCCCATTAACAAAATCAGTCAGTAATTCATAACAATTGATGGGCTAGAGATCTGTTTTAAATGTTTATGACAGTCTCTTCCAGCTCTAAAATTTTATTTTATTCTATAATTCTATGAGCAGTTGTTAAACGTACAGGTTAATTCTAGTTTTGTAAGTTTTTGACACTCTTGTGACCATTCTCTGTGTTTCTTGAAGCCCTCATCTTGAGTTCCTGCTGCTCAGATACTTCCAGAAGGTCTGTTCAACATTAAAATCTAAATGAAGAGTCCTTGTCCCTCTTCCCACGCCTCCACAGCACAACAAAAATGAGGTTAGCGGGCTTCCCTGGTGGCGCAGTGGTTGAGAGTCTGCCTGCCGATGCAGGGGACACGGGTTCGTGCCCCGGTCCGGGAAGATCCCACATGCCGCGGAGTGGCTGGGCCCGTGAACTATGGCTGCTGAGCCTGCGTGTCCGGAGCCTGTGCTCCGCAACGGGAGAAGCCACAACAGTGAAAGACCCACGTACCTCATTAAAAAAAAAAAAAAAAATGAGGTTAGCAGCACACTTGCATCAGCCATCCCGGCCCCTATAGAAGTGATTCTTAACATGGGTGGGAGGGTGATCAAGGTTTACATCATCATGATGGGATGGGTCAACATCATATTTTCTCCTGTGTGGTACGCTGAGAAGAGCATAAATAGCATCATTTCTGGGGGGTTGCTGTCAAGAATGCATGGCATTCTTGTTTGAGCCTGAGGAATCATTGCACAGACCCAGGTTGAAGGACATTATACAGAATGAATATAGAATGAAATACAGATACAGAATTTAAAATGTCAAGGCCACGGAAGACAGGGAAAGAATGAGGAACTACTCCAAATAAAAGAAATTAAAGAGATATGACAACTAAATGCGACTCATGATTCTGGATTCGGTCCTGAATGAGAAAGGGAGACATTTTGGGGACCATTGAGGAGACGTGAAAGGCGTCTGTGGATTGTGCTTTGGAAAGTAGTGTCATCAGTTGTGTCAGTGCTAATTTCCTGATTGGAAAATTTGTATGGTGAAAGGTAGGAAAGTGTCCTTGTTTGGGGACATGACGTAGAAAAATATATACTGAAGGATCTAAATATGACAGAGCATCATGTTTGCAACTTTCCCTCATATGACTCAGAAAAAAACTAATAATGATGGGTATGTCTATCTCTATATCTATATAAAGACAGAAAATGAAGGCATAAATGTGGTAAAATGCTAATAAAGGGGAATCTGGATGGGGGATATGGTACTCTTTAAGTTTGAAATTATTTCAAGGTAAATTATTTTTAAAAAACGTAGGATTTACGTTTATGGAAATGTAAAAATGTCCATGATTTATTTATGTAGATTATCCATATATTTATATGTTAACAGAGGTAAATGTCTTCACCCATCAGATTGGGAAGATCGGGGAGAGGTTAAGAGGGACTTTGCCCTCATAAACTTTATAAACACTTTGTAAACAAGTATTTACCTCATTGTAGGAAAATCCAGCTCGTGGAGATTAAGAGACCACTTAATTAGAGAAGGCAAAGAGGTCAGTCCTTCTCTGCAATGGCTTACCCAGATGACAGTTCACAGAAAAATACAATGCCAGCCTTTATTTGTTATTCATTCTATTTTCTTGATGTTTAGATATCTCTTTGGATTGAGTGGTCTCCTGCTTTTTGCTAGTTTGGGTCGGTCATTAATTTAATTAAGAGAACTAGTTCCATCAACATTCACATACACAGACTTTCTTGTGCAGTGGATACGTATGGGGCTTTTTACCTAGTACCTTTCTATCTATCGTTGGAGACCTCTGAAGAAAACGTGTTTCTTCAACTCTCCTCGAAGAGCTGTCCCCTCCTGTCCACCTCCATGGATGCTGTAGAGTCCACTCTGTTAGCCCAGTGTTACCCTCCTCTGACACTTATTCACAGGGGTGAGACCCTAACTCAAGCAGAGCCAACAAGCTCTTTTTTCAGGAGTTTTAGGCTTGGGACTGAGAGCATCACATTCTCTCTCTCTGTCTAAGTGGCTAAAGTGCTGAGGGCTTTCAGCAGCTATCTTCCTGTCAGGTAGATAAAACTGTTAAAAAACAAAAAGAATGTGAGGAATCAAGGTTTTCAGGAGCCTAATCCAGTTGTTCCAGAAGCCCAGCCATCTTTCTGACCTTGGTTTCCAGGAGACATGTTTCTGTGCTTACAATAAATACCCTGTTTCATTAAGGTAATTCAAGTTGGGTTTCTATAGCTTGCTATCAAAGGAGTTCTATGTAGTATGTGTGGAAACAGCACAGCATCTATGAAACCACCACTCTGTTCTGGTCTCATGGCAGTTTGAGTCATGTTTCTTGCACAAGGAGATACTTGTCTTGTGACACCGAGTGTACCACCTTCAAGCTACTACAAGAGTAATTTGTGTGATGGAGAATGACTCCAGAGCTGGGTTCTTATCCACCATCAAGAAACCTATTTTTCTTCAATTCTCCAAGGAAAGAATATTTACATATGTAATTTCCTACAGAGATTATCATCATCTTAGACACCTGCCTGACACGTAGGCTTTCAGAGTCAACACTGCTAAAGTTGAGGAGAAAAATATTTGGGGGGCGGGGGTGGATTTTAGAAGGATAAAAAGGAAAAAAAAATGAAATCTGAAATGTTCAAGTTCTGATTCTCTCTCCCTCTTACCTTTTCTCCAAAATTACTTTGGGGAGGAGGTGGGGGAGCCTCTAAAAATTTCTATCTGAGTTCTACTCTGCTCCTGCCGCATTAATCCTAGAACTATCAGTTTTCTTTCTTTATTGGCTTTTCCTTCATGAGGAACTTTTCCACACTTAAATTAGTCAGAGGGTGGGCTTCCCTGGTTGCACAGTGGTTAAGAATCCACCTGCCGGGCTTCCCTGGTGGTGCAGTGGTTGAGTCCGCCTGCCGATGCAGGGGACACGGGTTCGTGCCCCGGTCTGGGAGGATCCCACATGCCGCGGAGCAGCTGGGCCCGTGAGCCATGGCCACTGAGCCTGTGAGTCCGGAGCCTGTGCTCCACAATGGGGGAGGCCACAGCAGTGAGAGGCCCGCATACAGCAAAAAAAAAAAAAAAAAAAATCTGCCTGCCAATGCAAGGGACACGGGTTTGAGCCCTGGTCCGGGAAGATCCCACATGCCTCAGAGCAACTAAGCCTGTGAGCCACAACTACTGAGCCTGCGCTCTAGAGCCACAACTACTGAAGCCCGTGTGCCTAGAGTCTGCGCACCACAACTAGAGAAAGCCTGTGCTCAGCAACGAAGACCCAACGGAGCCAAAAATAAATTAATTAAATAAATAAAAATTTTTCAAAAAGGTAAAACAACCTCCTTACCCATCTTCCCACTTCAACTCTTGTTCCCTCTCATCCATTCTCTACATCACAACCAGAAGGCTATTTTTTAAGACATAAAATCAGAGAACTAAATCCCCTGTGTGAAACATTCCATGCCTTCCTCACCATACTTAGACTGAAAACCAAATTTCTGACCATGACCTCTAAACTCTGTCTGATCTGTGCCCTGTATACCTTCTTAGCCCCAAATCCCATCACCCTTTCCCTCACTCACTGTCCTGTAGCCACCCTAGTTCCTCTCAGACTCTTGAAAGTGGTCCAAAAAGTGCTCTTCTAAACCAGACAACCTGTGCTTACAGGGCAGCAACCTACAAAATTCAAGTCTTCCAGAAGCTCACGAAAGGGCTGATGTGCCAGTCAACGAGGAAGGTTCTACCCTGGGAGACAGAGACCCTTAGGACACCAAACCAACACCTATTATTCTACTGTCAATTTATGAGAAAACTAAGCAGGCAACTGCCTAATATTCCCCCTGCTCTGAGTGCCACGGGACACCCCCCACCGTCATCACTCAGGTGAGACTGCAAAGCTAGACCCGGGCTCCTGACAGTAAATAGAGTGTTATGGTTTATAACACAAGTTTGATTTAGACAAAATTAGGTTTGAAACCTGGCTTTACCACTTAGTGGTTGTGTGACTCGAGGCCTGTAAACCCCTGTATCAGCAACACTTGTCATGAGGCTCATTCCTGAGGTCCACGGAAAACCTCTCATCCAGAATCCCTGGGGTTGAGAGCAGAAATAGACGTTTAAAACAAGTTTTCTAGATAGTTATTCCTGTCCATATAGATTGACAGCATGGAACTGGTGCTCAAACCAAACCAGACTGATTTATTGAACAACAGAATCTACGACTGATCTCAGATGCAAACAATCCCATTCAGCTTTGCATCTTTCAAAAAATCTTTCTCCAAACATAAGCAATATATTAGATTTTTTTTT